TGGGCTCAGGCACATATGACTTAACTATATACAGTTTATTCACTTACACAGTACATAATGATTAATAAAGGATAAATACAATATTACTTAGGACTAAATGAGAAAGGTAAATAAAAAAGCCAAACAATATACCATGTCCATGGGGGATGATCCCTCCTCTAGGGGTTATTTCCCAACCACAATACCTATCCACGAAGCCCCCGGGACAGAGAGACAGGTAAGTCCCCTGTAGTTCAGGCCCCTGGATAAGTACCAGGTGGATGGAATGGCCCTTGCCTTGTGGGGGGGATCCCGCAAGTAGGGTGCCTCAGCAAAGGTGGAGTTACCACTTGTATGTACAACTTGCTATCAATTACAAAATACAAAGTGCAATACAACATACCCTACAAAATATAAGGCACAGCCTTCAGGGTGATATATCAAATTATCCCCTATAGGGTCAATTTCCCAGCAGGGGAGCCAGGGGCCCTTTCCCCAACCCTTAAGTGCCCCATGACCTGCCCAAAACAGTAAGAGGGACTCTTCTCCCTTCTAGTCAGCTGTGTAGGAGTAGCTTCCACCTTCAATCCTCCTGTGGGACCCTGCCCCTGAGGCATCCCTCTTAGGGACCCAGAGCCCCAGCAACTTATGGTCCCTTCCACAGCTCATCTGGCCGGTCCCAAAGAGAGGTTCCCTGGGCCTTCCTTCCTTGTCACCTCTGGATGTGCCTCCCCGGCATGGTGCCCTGACCCGAGCACCCAGGCCCTGCAGCGTCCCTTGCTCTGGCCTCCTGGCCTTCTATCGGGCTCTTCCATCGCCCTGTGCCCCGCTCTGGGGACCAAGGGGTCACTGCTCCACCGAGCTGCGATGTCGCGGGCTCCAGTCGTCCGGCCCCACACTGGGTGCAGCTTCCCTGAGCAGCCCTCAGCTGCTCTCTGGCCTCTCTCCGTGCACCAGCCCACGCACCGTGATGCCTGGCAGCCTGCCAGGGCTGCAGGTTTGAGCTGCCACTAGTCACTCCCAGAGCCTGAGCTTCATGTGCCGGTCCATGCACCATGATGCCTGGCAGCCTGCTGGGGGTGCAGGCTTGAGCCACTTTGCTGCGGCTCCCAAAGCCCCAGCTCCATGCGCCATGGAGTGGCTCCCAGGGCCGCTCCTCCAGCAACGTCTTCTGGAATCTGGGGCCTATTGCCCGCTGATGTTACTTTTCCCAGCTCCTCTCCTTTTGATTCCCTCACCGAGTCTGCTGTCAGCGTGCCCAGCACGCTCTTTTTTTAATGGACCGTGCTGCAGTCCACGATCTGGTTGGGGATCTCCTCTCCCCATCCCTTCAGGAAATGGGCAGTGGTTGCTTTCCCCAGCTTGGTGCTGACAGGTGGATTGGCTCCATCAATCAGAACTGAGGATTCTTGAGCTCCTGGATGCATTGGAGCTCCATCGGGTATGTCTGCCACACCTGTCTCCCAGGCTGTGACACTGCCTAAAGCCAAAAGGTTTTTTTTTATTGGAAAATTATCTTGAAAGGGAGCAGGAGAAACTTGATGGGGCTGTTGCACTATGTTTGCAAGTTCTTTCTCTTGGTGGGTGAGAAGTCTTGGATGGTCTTTGAAGGGACTGCGAGCTGTTAGCTTTGTGATATAGCTTCTTTGGTGGGGCAGCTGCGGCAAATGAAAGTGCACTTTGTTGTTCTCGGCCTTAATCTCTGTAAGTGGTATCAGTTTGGTGGTAGAGGTGAAAACAGGATGCTCTGTCTCTGGACTGAGAGTTTTGAATAAGGAGCTTATTTGCATGCGTATGATCACCTCTGTTCAAGGACTACTTTTTATTGAGCAAAACAGTTTGCATTAAGAGCTATCCATATTGCGTGTCTCTGATTTCTCCTCCAATAGGAAGCTGTCTTGCTAAGCCCTGATGTGTTCATTCTATGGCAGAGGGGTGATGATATAACCTGGGCATTGAGAGAGGGAATTAAGTTAATTTAGGCCTTGTTTGCATAAAAGGTTATGCCACATTAACTGAGAGAGTGTAAGCAGCCACGTTTCAATCTGTTTTTTGTTAAATGGAGGCAAATCCTGGTGTGTTCATTCTTACATAATTTACAAATGGTCTATGTTTATTTTTTTAAGGGCTTCATAACTGAATAGAGCTAAATTGATATAAGCCAGATGTAAACTAGTTTAAGGATGTCCACACATAGCTTTGGGCTGGTTTAACTAAATCTGTTTTAAAAATACAGTGTAAACTAGTGGTTGGTTTCATATGTAGGTTGGTCCTAAGTATGACAAGTAATTGGAGGAGCTTCTTTATTAGATTGACTAGCGGAGTGTTGCTTCAGAAAAGTGGTTATATGGGTATATCAGGAAAACTCCCTGTCCCCGAGACTGAAGATTTTGTATGAACATTAACAGATTCACATTTGTTTAGGCTCAACACTACAACATAATTAAATGTTTCTGAGCCTTGTTGCCACCCACTCCAGCATCCTTGCAAGCTGATTTGAAAATTATAGGGTTTAGGAACAGATAATAGGTTAATATTTGCAAAGCATTTTGTTATATAGTTGGATGGAGGCTCCCTGGGCTTGGTTGAGATGAGCCCATATCTTTACTCATACACCTGGGAAACCCTTTTCCCCATCATCAGCACCAGTCCCCTTTAGGAAACATAGGAAGTGACTTCAAAACCCAGCGGTATTTTTATCTAAGCAGTGCAAGCCCTCAGCCTGTGTCGAGGAGGCAGCACCCAGCGATAAGTTAGACCAGGTGTACATTTCCTTGTAGTAACACAAGATTCCCAAGGCCCAGCACCTGCATATATTGACTTTCTTACCTGGAGTCAGTAGCCCCAGCCTGGCCTCTCTATCCCCTTTGCTCAGTCAGTGATACCCACACACACTAAAATCCATTTAGGGCAGCGATCTGATTCCATTTACCTGGAATATCATCTTTATTACTGCTGGGTTAGATTGGACTTTCTGGTTCATTCCAGCAGATTTCTGGATTAAATCTTTTGGTTGCGGTTTCTGGCTCAGGTTGCCATCTCTGTCTGTCTCTCTTTGCAAACAAACTAAACTTCCCACATAGTGGTAGTGTCTTCTTTTATCCCTCCTTCATGGGCAGAGGACTAGCCTCACATCACCCAGGTCATCTGCAGGCAATCTCTCCTCTTGGTTTTGGAGTGACAACTGTTCTCAGTGAAATTCAGGTCCCCTGCAGATACTCAGCTTTGACTGGGAGTGATGCTCTTCCTCTTAGATGAAAGCCCCTAGGTCACATCCCACAATAGGTGGGCAGTCCAGCTGGAACTTAAAGAGTTTGGGTCCTCCTGTTTCTAATCAAACATAGATTTTGGGGAAAGGCCTCTGCCGCATCACACTGCCTATACAAATATATATGTATATATGTATAACATGCATGTTGCTATGATAGTTATTCAGGGAAAACAAAGAAGTTTCCTTTTTTTTAACAAAGATTTTGATGATTTTTCAATTTTTGTTCCTCAAAAAAGTTCCCTGAATCAAAAAGGTCATAATTACAGCCATGTAATAGTAAAAAGTAATATTAAACCATTTTCTTTTCACACTAAACAAGAAACTTTATTAAAATAAAAAATGCAATATTATTCCTGATGCCATTCTGTCTGCGAGCTTTGCTTTTGCAAGCCTTCATGCCTTGCTTCCTTTTTCAGATTTGAGGAGACTGTACTCTTAGCCTCAATATTAGCATTAATAACGTGCATATATTTTTAATAAAGAGTATTAGGTTTTAGATATTTCAGACAATACTATAGATGTTGGAAAAATGTCCAGTGGAAGTTTTTGACAAAACTCTGTAGGTTGTTTTGGTCAAAATTAATTTTTTTGAAGAAAACATTGTTGAAAAATATTAAACTGATATGCTCACAACTTACATGTTTCCATATTTACCCGTTTATCAGTACACTTCATATTTTCAAATCATTGGCATTTCTGAGGATAATCATACATGTTCTAAATTTGAACTGCGTTGCAATGTTAAGATTTGGTAAGATAAGAAACATATTATCTCTGGGGCAGATTGGACAGTGGGGCAACCACCTCTGGCGCAAATACTGACACTCGCTTCCCAATTCTCTTTCTGTGAACATTTGAGTGTGTAAACTGGATTGCTGAAATATTCCTGGAAAGCGAAGTAGAAGGTATCAACACAGACAAAGCAAATTCCCATAAAAATCAGACTGAGAATCCTCTGCAAATTATTTGTATTATTTGTTTAGCTGTTTTGGAGTTGTCTGAATTATGGGGAATATATTTTTGCAAAGCATATATAAACAATGTCTCAAGATGTCTTGTGCACATTTTTAAGTGTTTAGATTGTTTTGACATACAAAACAAAACCTGGAAACTTTTCAGTGCTTTTTATTTTGCGGGGTTTGTTTTTCCATTATCATTATTTTAATACTACACCAGTACGGTACCTAGAAGCCAAAATCAAAATCCTGGATGGGGAACCTATTGTGTGTGGCACCATACAAAAACAGAACAAAAGAACCCCAATGATTCCTGCTCCAAGAAATGCCTTTTTATCTGCCCCCACTCCTCTTTTCCTTCAATATTTCCTCCTTTGATCAAAAAGAGTAAAAATCCACCCAAGCTTTGCTGCCCATTGAGCCAGCATAGCTAAGGCACATAAGGGAGTGATGTAACTACTATCAAATCCAGCTGCCTTTGTCTTGCTAGTCTGAGTGACCAAGTAGCCATTTACAGCTAGATGAACTGGGGGAGCTTTCATCATATATACACAGCAGGGCTCAAGTACTTATCCTTAGAATCAAAGCAAGATACTGTACCCATGCTACTGTGGCATGTCTTCTTTACAGTGGGGGTTACAAGAGCTAAGTGAATCAGGAAAGAGTTAATAAGCTGCAGGGAACCTAATCAGGCCTGACCCAGGAAAGCTGTGCAGACTGGCCCTCAGGTGGGGTGTGACTGGGAGGGAGATTGGCTCTAGGTGAGCCTGGTAGGAAGGGCTTGTTACCCGTGTGGCTGCTACAGCTTGTCTGAGCTCAGATAGGATGGGAATGTTCGAATGGTTTGGTGCTCTGCAGATCCTGGGGAGGTAGAGGCACTGTGTTTACTGACTGAGCTCAGAAGAGGTGGAAAATATGATTTTTTTGGTGTTTGTTTCAGACTACAGGTATTCTGTCAGTTGTGCAGCTGTTACATGACCTGTCTAGTGAGTTAAGTCATTTCAACCTAGAAAGGGTCAGAGCCTGGGGAGGCTGGCTGAAAAACTTAGTGGGAACTGGTGGTAGAGGTACCGCTGTCTTCTAGCAAGGGGGAGTCCATTACTCCTAATTCTTCCCCTTCCCTACTGTACTTTGTCACTGAAAAAGTGGGAAAACCCCAAAATCAAAAAAATTCTTTTGGAGTTTGTTTTTAAATCTCACAATTTTGAAGATATGCAAAAAAAATGGTGACTAGTTTTAAAATGTATCTGTTGCTTAAGATATTCTCCCTCCACCTCTTGCAGGTGGAATGAAGTCAAAAGATCCCACCCAACCCAGGAGAAGCTGTGTGAGAGCACATGGACAGGCCAGCCCTCCAGGCTGCAAGGTAACCCCTGCTCACATATGGAGCATAATCATACTGGGAGTCTTGCTGTCACTCTTGCTGTGTCTTCCTGGGGTTGACTGGTGTAGAAGCTTTTAGCAGTCACAACTGGAGCAGGGTCCTTGTATGCCTCCAGATCCTAGAGAATCGTACCAGGTAGGCTGAGTGAGGGGGCTTTGCCAGGGTCAAGGGGATAACCAAGCTCACAGCAAAGCTACCATGGCCTACACCTGAGCTTTTTATCCCGTTTCTCCCTCTTTACGTATGGATTGAGATAAGAACTCCATGCCCTGTGTTTTGTTTCTCCATAGCCTTGGATTTCTCTCTCATACTGTAATTATATCCCCACTGCATGTGAGTTCCTATAGATATTGTAGCTTAGAGTATTATATAGGAGGAAGAGAATGTGGCTGAACTTCATTATGAGGCAGTTCTTCCAGTAACCTCAAATGATAAATTGCTTTCTTTTTGCACAGACCCTGATTTGCATGGCTACCCGATTACTTCGGGGCTTACAGCCATTTTCAGGCTTGTTCATTCCCCCCCCCCTTTCTAAATGCCACAAGCATGGTTAATACTAAAGGATAAGAGCATTATCAAATGCCACCCATCTGTCCACATCTTTAAAAAAAAAAAAAAAAAAAAAAA